AAAAATTACTTTTTTTCCAACCTTTTTTAAAATAATTTAAATTGTTTTTTAATTATGTTATGTTTATTATAATTTGTTTTACTTTACTGTCGGGGGTTCTAAATAGACCTCTGATATTTCCCTTTTAAAATAGAAAAAGAGATTGAGGACAGAGTCCTTAATCTTTTTTTCTGTAGCCCCTGTTATGAATGAACATGAAACCTCTATACTGAGTGTTCCTGTCCATTCATAAGCTGTGGAGATAGTATCAGTTACTATGGCCACAATCATGAACGAACAGGAAGTGATGTAAAGCAAAACATAGGTCGTTTACAAATTCTTTACTGCGCATGTGTTAAAATCCAACATCTTAGAAACTTATGCACAACAGTTTCATTCCGCCAGGACGCAGCCGCAAGACACATTACGAAGTCATGGAGCTGCAACGAGAGCGGGTGTCCTCATTTAGCATTTTAAATATATTTCATTATTATTACTACTTTGCACCCAAGACCCTTTTTTCGCACCACATTTCTTCTTCTAAATCTCTACTTTGCATTTATATTTCCCTATGAGCCAAATTAACAATCTACTTACACTAAGTTTTACAGTTTGGGGCCCTTGGCATAGAATTGTATTCATTTTAGAAACTAGAGCACTATTCCACATGTGCCAGTCTTTGTGAATTCCCCCAGTGAGTCAAAATCTCCCCAAAATGAGAGGAAATTACACTTTTAACAGATGCCACCAGAAGAAATGTCCCCATTGTTGCGGGGGAGTTTCCCTTATATTCTGTACCAGTAACACTGACATTTTGCATTTCCCCTTATTTTCTCTCTCTCTGTAAGCAACTGTTTCAGAAAAATTCTGTGATCGCTTATTATAGGTAACAAATTCCTGTGAATGTCACCATTGCACATCAGTTAAAAACATAATGGCTCTTTCATTACTTTTGTCCCCTAAACGTTCTTGCACACGGACAATTATCACATGAATTTGTGAACATAGCTAGTTCTGGACAGCATGGGACTAATGTGTACAAGAAATAACTGCCATTGATAATAAAGCTCTTAAAGTATAAATAAAGGCTAGAATGTGATAAAGTAGTGAGGGGTTAAAACTCCTGTCATGTTAGCTGTCTGTGTCCTCATTAGGGTGAGATGTCATCATGTACATTGCAGGACCCACAGCTTTATATGTGAGGACACCGAGGGACAGTCCACAGGCCGGGCCATAGGAGAGAGAGGGGAGCACTGACTGCCGAGGAGTGGAGCTCAGGTAAGTAAAAGTCCCTTACACAATGCCACTACCACAAAGGAGCAGTTAACCCTTTCAGTGCAGGAATAACCCCACTGCAAGGGTAGTTTTGCTATATTTTCCTATGTTTTTAAGGGCTTATTCACACCAGCTGGCACCCGTTAAGGTGCACATAACACTCGCGAAACATTGTAAAACACATCACAGTGCTTACTTGAAAAAAAAATCTATTAGATTTGATACTTTATCAAACTGTACGTTATAGCACGTCAGAACACGCTTCACAACAATTCAACATGTCCTGCTTTTTTATACCACAGCTTGATGTGTGAGCTGAAGAAATAGCACATAAAATACATTTCTTTGTACACATGTTGGGATGGTGTGGACGAGCCCTAACTGGGGATTTCCCTCACATGGGAAAGATATATTCATTCTCTCTCTCTCTCCCCTCTCCTCTCTCTCCCTCTCCTCTCTCTACCTCTCCTCTCTCTACCTCTCTCTCCCTCTCCTCTCTCTACCTCTCTCTCTCTACCTCTCTCTCCCTCTCCTCTCTCTCCCTCCCTCCTCTACTCCATCCAAAATGAAAAAGTATGGCGTCAGATATACTTGAAATATGCAGCTTAATTTCAGGTAGGTTTATGCATCAGACCAGCCACTAGAGGGCTGCAGCTGCTTCTTTCAGGGCCTGTTCACACGACGTCCGTTTTCTGTGCTGACCTGATCCGTACGCTACTGCACTAAAAATGCATCCCAATGTATCCCTATGTGTTTTATGAGCTACAGTTCTCACGTGCGCAGTCCATTCAGGTTACGACAGAAAAATACTGCATGTCACATTTTGTACGGTCAGGAAACGGCCCGAAAACGCAAAACGCGTCAAAAACGCACTGCTAACATACTGACAGCGCCACTCCAGCAAACAATTTTTTTTTTTACCTGAACGCATCAAAAACGCGGCGAAACACATAGCACCACGTCTGCAGATCCGCACCTGAAACTCATGTGAACAGGAAAGGTTATACAAAAATCACTAAAGCAATGTATATGCAGTACACAGATAGTAGATAAATAGTCTTCCTGAAGAATAAAAATATAACCTTATTGGTCATTTTAAGCATATTATCCAGCTGTGGAGCGTTCTTTTGTTGGCCAAGCCAATCACATTGACATATTTCAAAAAAATATGTACTTATAGATTTATTTGTTCTTTTATTTTTACAGATCTCTGCAGGATTCAAGACAGTTACCTGAAGGTACACAATTTTCCTTTAGTTGTATCCTATGGTTGATTAATTCCTATTTGGCTTCTAAAATGATACACAAAGTAAAGTCTCATTCACTCAGATGCATAGGCCTGTGCAGAATGCACTCGGGGGTCACAGTTGAGAGCATACAGCCATGGCAAGCGGCCTGTACAGATGAATGACAGGCTGACAGATGCCACGGCTATACATAGATTACTGAAAATCCAAATGATAAATGTGAGCGGATGTGCAGCCCTAGATGCAGGCAGTCTGTGCCCAGGGCCTCTCATCCATCTATGTACACATGAAATTGCTGGGATGTGTGGGTACATGTATACCGTGGCGTCTGTCAGCCTGTCATTGATTTGTACAGGCTGCTGGCCACGGCTGCATGCTCACACCTGTGATGTCGGAGCATATAAACATAGAAGAAGAAAATAATGTCACCAGCACACCGTAGTAGTAAATCAATGATCCATTTTTAATGGCACAATGCCATTCAATGCAAGCGGTTTCAGGGCCTCAGGGGGTCCCCTTCATCAGGCTCAGAATGTCATTCCCCCTGAGGCCTAAATGTCATTCTGAGCCGGATGAAGGGGACCCCTGAGGCCCCGAAACCGCTTGCATTGAATGGCAATGTGCCATTAAAAATGGATCATTGATTTACTACTACGGTGTGCTGATGACATTATTTTCTTCTTCTATGGTTTACACAGTGCCTTCCGTGGTCACTACAAGCACCCACCCGTTTGGGTTCTCTCCGGTAAGGAGTGCAGCAAGACCTCTGGTTCCTGGAGCATATAAACACACGCATTCTGCACGCTGTAGGAGCCTATGCTCTGTACTTTCAGATAGTATGTTTGCATGTAGAATAAATTACAAAACATCTGTCCATTACCATACTTGTATCAGAATGGTCCAACACTGCTACAAATGTACAGTACAGCAACACTGACAATAAACATGATCAGTAACAGGTCTTGAGAATGTATTGATGTGATACAGAGTATAATGTTGTATAGAAACTCAAAGTAACAAATTGGAATTCAGTTTTCAAAGCTGAAGAAAGGAAAAATAACAGCTAATAATAGCTACAGTAAACTTTATAATGCCTTGTCCTGGTATGATAGAACATTAGGACTATAGACATGGCTTACCTTAGAGGGGTTTTTGGTCATGATGTGTCATGATCAGCTTCCAGTGTAGTATGAAATGAAAGCAAAATGAATTAGCAACATGAAATACATTTGTGATGGTAAAGCGTCGCAGGAAGGCCTTGTACATTATCTTTACACCCGTCTTTGTAGTACTAACAATAGACAACAAGATAGGATCACTCAGAGAGAATCCTGAATGCTGATAGCAGACACAATTAACCACTTCATTACCAGCTGTATTTTAGTTTTCAGTGCTGTGAAAGCCTGACTGAATTACTCCATACCCAAATTCATTTTATATCATGTGCAGCACATTGGCGTTGACAAGCACTTCTGCCTTGCAGCACTGGGGGTCCTTGGTTCAAATCCCGGTCAGGACACTATCTGCAAGGAGTTTGCATGTTCTCCCTGTGCTTGCATGGGTTTCCTCCGGGTATTCCGGGTTCCTCCCACACTCCAAAGACATGCTGGAAGGTTAATTGGCTAATGTCTAAATGGTCCCTGTATGTATGCAGGTGAGATAGGGAAACTGAAAACACAAAGTGCACATCTCACCCCTACCATGCATCTCCGCAATCCACACTCGGTGCACGGATGACTTTCTTCTGGAGTGATGGGCTCAAAAACTGTAGAATCAGCACACGATGATCTTCCAAAGAAATTCAAACTTTATTCCACATGCATCTATACAAAGAACAACCGCTGACACGTTTCTGCCTTACTCAGCCTTAGTCATAGCCCATGTGAGATAGGGGACCTGTGATTGTAAGCTCCTAGAGGGCAGGGACTGATGTGCAATGTGCATTATGTAAATTGACTAGAAATAGAAATGCCAGGGCAGGACCGAGGATCAGGAGAGTATGTCGTCTATTTAAAATGAGCAGCTAAGACTTCTAGAATAAATCCTGAACATTTGTGATGTCGCTTTTCTCTATTATTTATTCATTTGTGTGTTTAATAGATGAATATCTGGCATGTTGTGTGTGTTCCTCTCTGCAGGGTGCTCTGTTATGGTGTTGGAATCAGTTACCATCTTCAGGAAATACCTTTCTGTATTAGATCTGCCAATCAGCTGGTTACTGCACAGTGACATCCTCTTTGTATCATCGGGGCCACAATACAGACAAGCCAAGGTATCTGTATGGGATGTGTTTGTGTTTTCATTATTGCAGCCTGGGCTCGCACATGTATAGTTGGTGATGTACCGCGAGCATGCCATGTCCGCACTTTACCCGGCTAGATGGATAGCACATTACTGTCCCACATGTTAGGTGGCCTATGGAGCAGGTGAAGGTGTTTGGAGGCGTTATGCCATCCCACCATTACATTGGACTAGGATGCAGAGCTTCATTGGCACAATATATGCTATGGAGCATTGCTCAGACACCACCTGCCTGTCTGTCTGTTATTTACTGTACAAGTAACGCTCCTAAGGTGTACATCTGAGGCTGGATGTTTTACCAAGCACAATGGGGAGCATCTGTATATATATGTACATGACTCTAAAAAGAGGATTACTTTCCCTTAAACATTTCCAAGGCATTTAAAGAAGAACTCCAGAACTCCAGGATTTTTAAAAATTAACCCCACCACCACATTGCGAGGGTTAAGTGCTAATTTTGGTCTAGGGGGGAAAGTAAAGAAATACTCACCTGATCTTTGGTCCTGTGGCATTGTCAACCCCCCCCCGCTCTGGTGGTGGAATGTCCCTCGGTGTCTTCAAGTCTTATAGACCTGTATTAGACACGATGACGTCACAGGTCCTTAGACTGAGAAAGGGAAAACTTAACCCTTGCAGTGCCGGGGTAGTCACAATGCAAAGGTTACATTTTTTATAAATCCTGGAGTTCTGCTTTAAAAAAAACCTCAGTGATGAATGCCAAAGATGTAAAAACACTTTTTAATCTAGTTATGCACTAAGTGTATTTTTACATAAATGAGGCTTACGTTCCTTGATCTGGCTGGATATCACCCTCATGTAATAAATACCCAGCACAGCAGCTGCATTGTAGTCAGCTAAGGTCCCTAGAAGAATAAATATACATTTC